AGAACAGATAGAAGTAAAAAATATCAGAGCTATACCAAGACAAGGGATAAGAGAAACCAAATAAAAATTATATTGTTTTAATTTTGGATTGGAAATTGTGTGAAAGAAGGGATACGATAACTAAATTAATATGACATTTTTGCTCTGACAGCAGCCCTTAAGAAATTATTTTTATAGTGATGATGAAAACATACACATTTGAATTGTATTATAAAACAAAAGGAAGTGTATGTGAACTATTCCATCAGATAATTTGGACTAAGTGAACGATCTTAAAATGATGACAGATCACTGACATTTTGTATCTACTGTGACTGTGCAAACTTGAGTCTTGAATTAAGAATGAACTGCCGTTAAAATATGTCATAACAGAAATTACTTGATCTAAGAATTGATTTAGTTTCAGAGTGGCCTTCACAGAGTAAGCTGTGCATAGCGGACAAAAAAGTGGGCCAGGCTTCTTTTTGATGTGTGGAGTGTAAATACAGCCCTTCACCCCCCTTCCTCTAATTGTAACTGTGTTGTTTTCATATTGTTGAGTCTCAGAGATGTATAATTTATCACACAAATAATCTGGAACAAAACAAACTCTCCTCTCAGCTCCCGAGAGCCCGAGCATCTAATGAGTTCACTCCATAAAATATTCATACCTCTGCAAATTATACTATCACTTTCCCTGCAATATACACAAGTGCACACACACACACACACACACACACACACACAAAGAGCTGACCAACATTCCATTGGGTATAATGGCAGGTTGTACAACCTTAAAAGCTCATTGATCACTGTCAAACAACAACAATGTATTCTTTATTGCTTTACGTCTGTGACTTGACTTAATAAAGACATCAGTTACTCATATTGATCCAGACCTCATTTAAAGTCTTCTCAAATGTTTGGACCCTCATCTTATTGACCAGGGTCATGCAGACCCCAGTGGTATTTTTGTGTGTTATATTTCATAGGTGTGGGTGTTTTTTTTTTTTAATAATTTCCTTTTTTTTAAACTTTGCAAATCAGTTTGTATCTCATAAAGCCACATCATTGTTTTCTATTTCTGCTTTGATTAGTGCTTGAAAAAATGTTCTGGCCAGATTAGCGAACCTGAAATTGATCGTTTCCAGGGAAAGGAAAAAACAGGGACTGTACTTTTTCTTAAAAGGTATTCAAACACTTACATTTCTGCAGGTGATTAATCCAAATTTGCACTGATGAGTTTTTAGATAGTGTACAATTAGAAAGATTTAATAGTAGTAATTAGGAATTAGTAGTAATGTTAATACCTCAGACATATTACCTTGAATTAAAACAAAATTTTTAAAAGAACTTAAAAATTCATCTCTCAACTAAGGTTTTATACTTTTTGGCTTTTGTCCTGTAAATCAAAATGTTACACCAATAAACAAATAAGATTTTACAAAAGTACTCTTTTTTTCTCCACCCCGTTCTTTTCACCTGGTTTTAGATTTTCTCATGTTAGAAATACGAGGAAATATTATTTCCAGGCAGCGGGAAGGTTGAAGGTGCCATTTTCATCCAGTCACAGCCAATTATGACCTGGCCATCAAGAGATGAGAAGTGGAAGAGCAGGGAAAGAAATCAGACGAGGTTTTCATGCTGAGAGCCTGCCACCCTCCACCAACACCTTTTTCTCTTCGAGGAGAGAATCCAAAAATCCAAATCAGGAAACCATCTCTCCTCTTTAAAAAAATTCAAATGCCAAGGGGCTTCTACAAAAAGCCCATGTGACAGAAGATTGAGCACTTGCTTCAGCATGTGAGGGAATGACTGAATTTCATTAAGATAGACTCCAACACTTTTGTCTCATTAGCAGATCAGGAATCAGGGGACGAGGCAGAAGGAAACTGCACTCAGAGTGATCACACAGGTAACCACTTGCCCAAGCACTTTTTGATTGGTTAATTAGTGTGTTTTCAATCAGCCAGCTCTTGCAGCGCACTCCCCCATAATTAAAAGGTAAAAAGAAGGCTTCTAATAAAGCCTGCAGCTTCTTCTCTTTTACCCTGTAAAGCTATTATGGTAAAACCTGGACTGAATACAGTGAGGAGTAATGCACACACATAAGTTAAAGTATGTATAACACTATAAGGATATGTGAGAATACTTTATGAAGCTTATACTTGATAAGGTTTGAGCTGGCAAAAAAAAAGTCCTATTTAGAGATTTAAAAAGGACAAGCCAAGAAAAAAGACAATTATAAAAGTGTTTGGTTACAGTTCATTTCAAAGTTTATTGCTGGATTTACAATCAGTCATACAGGTGTAGCAGCTGAACAGCCAATCATAAGGGGACTACAAAGGCTTAAATAGGTGATTGCAGCCAGGTGTGGGGACTGCTTCCTGTCATTGTCCTGGACTCTGGTTCGGCTCCCCTGTGGGTTGAACTGATTTATACTTTTGCCTGGTGAGCTGAAATAGTGGACTTTTTAATAGTTTTACCCACTCCAGTGTTTTGTTTTGTACTGGTATATTTCCATTTAGTAATTTGTAGGTGCCATAGCTAACTTGTTTTGTTTTTTCAGGAGCACTGACTGCTGTTTATTCTGGGATTTATTTATTTATTTTTTAGCTTTCATTTGAAGTATTGTTTATTTAGTTATTTAATAACTGTGTTTTTCATATTTGTTGTTCTGTCCTCTTTGTTTTTAGTGCTGTGGCGGGTGGCTGCCTCCAGCTCTAGGCTTTGTTGATATATTGGGAGCAGTTTGTTCACTAATGGAATACTCCAGGTATCTCAGCAGTGGTTGGTTTTATTTATTTATTTTAACTACATATTTTAGCAAAATTCTTAATAGCCAGTTGGCAAATACGAATGAACTGAATTATATTAACCCAGTTTTCAGCATAATCCCTCACAGCTCAGACTTATGCAAAGTGCACACTAAATAGATTTTACCAGAGTTCTTGATTTAAAAACGTATTTTTTTTCAACTAAAGGCATCACTTCAGACTAAAGTTCCTTTCTGTGTTTTAATTTCCTTTTTACCTCGAAGAGGAAGGAATTAAACTTGGCACACTTTGTGACACCATGATTATTTTGTTGTAGCTGCGCTTCTAGGCAATAAATCTTATGCTATTGGCGTTATTTCCCTTGAAATTGTGGCACATTTGTAAGGAAAATGCATTTTGGGGTTGAGCATAAGATGTGTGAGTGTATGCACTATGTCTATGAAAAACGTGCACAATCTTTCTTTACTCTGATATTGACTTATGTTCATCATTTATTGGACTGGATGATTAGTCATATTGGCAATATAACAATTTATTGAGTTAATGGTCCCTCTGCATGTAGAGGAACCACAAGTATGGAACCACCTCCTGATGGTTACCCACTGTGGGATGGCATCTCATCAACCAGAATAAGATTGTGTTATGTGAACTTGTGGACTCAACATTAGCTGTATTGTCCCTGTAACAAGGAAAATATTGAAAGTGGGTTGTGTTTTTAACCTTCCAATCCCCCAGAATTTTTAGACTTGAACAGTCCTCCAAATCCTCCTCCATACACATGAATGCACATTCACGTTTATCCTTGCCTCTTGGCTTAAGTGAAAGAAAACAAAACACAAACTTCAACTAAAAACTGTATTCTGACAACGATATTGGTTAGGGCTCGAGTGATGCTGCATCAAACACCATGATTTTTACATAATAAAACAGGAATCCAACTGGTGCTGACAGGAAGGAGATTTCAGCAGAATTTGTCAGAATTTTAGAGAGACTGTTTCAGCTTTTTAGATTTCACTCTGGAGAAAATAAGTTTCATGACCTTCAACACAAACAAACGGATGCAAGCTGGTTGATTCAGCCAGCATCGTATATGCAGCAGTGGCAGCTGCATTGTTGTCAACATGTGTTAAGTTTATTGATTAGCTAGAAATTGTTAATTATCCATCCAAATGGGTAATTAACAATTTCCAACTTCAAAGACATTTAAACCCCTGGACCCTGCTTCTAATTGAAGGATATCGAGTCATCAGAAAAACATTTATGAGGGACTGCTGTCAAAACTGAACCAGCAATGATAATAAAAACAAACGGCAGCCACAGTTTGAAGAATGGAGCAGAATGACTTTTCATTTGTGTAATCAGTCTTTCAAAGTAGTTTTTTTTTCTTCTTCTTCTAGTGAATGCATACTCGCAGTGCAAATGAGTGCAATTAAATATTGAATGAAATTATATTTTCTCACTTGAAAAATTAGTGCAGTAATTTGTGGAAATGGTTCTTCCTCCTTTTGTGACATTTCAGTGCTCAGTTAACACTTAAATTGGTCAGACTTCATATTGAAGGCATGTGGAAAATGTAGTGAACCTGACATTAAAATCAAAAACAACATCCGCAGCAGAGTTGAGGTCAGGCAGACTTTGGAAGCTCCAGCTCTTAAAGAACAACTTCTATCCACATTATCAGAAGAAGCACGTGTCTCTATAAAGTAGTGCAACTTTGATTTGTGTTGTCAAACAGTGTCATGGTGATGTAGTGTATTGAATGAATAGATGACTTATCCCTGTCCCCAAATGGCTACAATGCATTGAGTTCTGCATTTATTATTCTTGTTTGTGTTAATAAGACATATTTCCTTTAATCAGTTAAGGTGCAATGGCTCCATCTAATGGTCACTTGGTGATATACAGGGAAGTTGCTGAACTTGTTTACTCAAATTTTTATTTTCAATATAAAAACTTCTCAGTATAACAAGTACTATAAAACCAGGCAAACAGCCTTGATTTTTTTTTCTTGTAAAGACTGAATGAAAAATGTGTAAAAACAAAGCCAGAAGACATTCGGATTGATTTAATAACATATTTTAATTTCAGTGTTTTAGTATAAAAATCCCACCAGCCTGCTGTCAGCTGGGTTCCGTTCCCTGTTAACTGTGGTTTTTCCCAGAGAATCAGCTAAAGTACCAAATCTATTTACACACAACATCCACATTCAGAAGGACCAAAGAAAACAGGAAGTCTACCCACTGCTACCCTGCCAAAATAAAACATCAAACACTGTCACCTCACCCTTCAGATTTAATGCTATCAATATGGGAAAACAAAGACTGACACAGGTAAAAGAGAAGGGGCTTCTATGTGACTCCTAGTGCACCTGTAGTATTTTCTTACTTTCTCTATAAAGTAATGCATATACATTTTTGAATTTACAATAAATTAGTACAGGCACATTCTCTTCTCGCCTACAGCTGACTGTCCACTCCAGGTTGAGAAGGTGATTCTATGACATTTTTACAGAAGACTTGAACTCATCACAGCAAACAAACAGGCCAAAAATCTGAAAATAAAATCTAATAAAAACCCCATAAAAGATAATTGGGGAACCTGTGGGCAGCTTTTTTTCTCCTTTGTTTTGGTGTGAATGATGCACTTTGGGCATTTTAAACTTTGAGAGTTTTATAGATGTTATATAAATATGTACAAACAGTAAAAAAAAAAAAAAAGTAGTCCAGTAAAAACATTCAGAATTTAAAAAAAAAAAAAAAGCACACACAAAAACACATTAATGCCAAAGATGAGAACTTGAAGCTTGAGAACTCAATAACTTACAAAAAAACATACAAAAGAAGGTGAAATAAAAAGGTTCAATACAGTATGCATGTTTGATTTTTCTCTGTAGAGATAGCACCAGCAGAAATCCCAACGCTGTCAGTGCTGTTGACAGCGCGGATCATCACCTCACTGTATAAATATCAGAATGCTGTGTACCAAAACTGACTGAGGGAATGAATAAATTAGTGTCAGGCCTTGTACAGGATATTTACAGGAGCTGCTGCTGTCACACACAATGATGGACAATTTCATGGCAGTGAGATTGCAGCAGTCTTGCAGCACATTTAAGGAGGTCAGAGGCCAAACTCTGCCACATTCAACAGGTTTAGACCTGCTACTTTTCAGTCCTCGCAGCCAAGATTTGATTTGTTTTTTTTCCCCTGTCAACTTTTTGAATCCACTAACAAAGACGTTTTTCATTGCATAGCTCTTGACAAATAAGAACAACTGTTTCAAGCTACAGTATTTCAGAGAGGTGGAACCTGTGTGTGAGGAAGGGTGGAAATGATTTGGTTCCAGTTTGAAGGACATAGTAAACAAGATGTGTTTGTGTTGTGCGTATACAGCAGACACCGTGTTCTCTGCAGTGACAAAAACATGATTAAGAGATGGGAGATGGAAGGATTCTTGAGGTGGCGGGGCTTCAAATCGTGACACCAAGGCCAGTGTTCGGCTTGAGCTCTCTAGCTCGGTCTAGATGGTTCATGGCTCGATCGAAGGCGAGTCGCACAGATTTTCGGACGGAGGACGACCGAGCCTCCATCAGCTTCATTCTGTCGAGCATCTTATTGACGCCAAAGGGAGCCATTTTGGATTTAGGAAGCCATTGCCTGATGAGAGAGAAGACCATTTTGGAAAATGTTTTCACATGTGACGAAGTGGAGTTCCTTTCAAGACCTTTTGTACAAGACACAGAATGCAGTTCAGCATCTCTTTCATAGTCTGATCAGTCTAAATTGGTTTTGTTTTACATATATAGTAATAATTTGACATAGGACAAAAAAAAAGGTCTGTATTAAGTGGCTAACGTGTTTTGTTTTTTGTCTCAGAAGTCACTCTTAAACAACATCAGTACAAAAGTAAATTTTTGTTAAAGTGAAGCTTTCCTTTTTTTTCCCCCTCTTCTCCCAAACTAGGTCTCTGGAAAAACTGTTTGGGGACCACATCACAATAGTTAAGTTTCCTATTATGAACACATTAAAAAGCTGTCATTAAGCAGGCTACAGTGACTCATACATTGGCTAGCCACAGATATGACTGGTGGAGCTCATCGACAACAGCAGGAGTAGATTAGAGTGGATCAAATGTTGCTTTCCAGGTTAAATAGGTTTCAAACGTACAATCTGTCTTGATCACTTGTTTTGTTTAAGCAAGATTAATTCAATCCCAGCTAACAGTGAAAGAAGTTGGCTGCTCACCAGCTGCGCCTGCTGTCGAAGAAGTGGACGAGGAAGAGTTTCTCTGCGGACCTGAACTGCATCCGCTCTCCGGCTCTGAGAACGTCCAACGGTGGCTGGGGAAGCTCCACCCCGCTGTGCCGACACATTGTCCTCCGTGACCTGGGGTCCATGATCTGTGAAGACCAAGAAAATGGAGCGGGACACTGAGGGAGGCAGACTTCTCGCAGGAAAACGTGTGGCCAAAAATTGGCACCTGGAGTTTGGGACTTTTTTTTTTTTGTTTGTTTTTTTAATTTAAATGGCTGGCTGAAAACTTGCAAAAATACTAATTTGTCTTGATAAGTACATTACTTTTGGTTTGTTTGTGTTATTTGAACAGCCCACTAACATCACCAAGACAGTGCCATTTCTGTGAAGAGTTAAATATCTGCTTCTGCCATCAACTCCACATCTAAGCTGTAAGTTGTCCACGTCTTGCTTGGGGGAAAATCTTTCTGTAAAAGGTACTGATAACTGAGAAGTCCAAAAAAACTATTAATTCCAAATGGCTCAATTCCTACTGAGCTAGATCAAATAATTCAAAATGTAAAATTAGCTTTGTCTCCACTCGAAAGTAAAGGAAATAGAGAAGATCTAAACAGTTCTATAATTACTCCATTTCTATTTCATTCTTACAGTAGATGTGATGTTTTAATGAATGTTATTTTTTTTGGATGGGCATATTTGAAAGTGTTTTCTGCATTAGAAAAATCTGACCCTGAGCTTTTTTTTTTTTCCTAATTCTCATTTCACTCGTTTCCATTCTAGCTGATCAAGTAAAGCTAAAGACATTATTTGTAGCCCTGCTACAAGTTGACTACTCGACTTACATTTTATGTCTAATTGCAGTGACTAAAAACACCCCAGTTTGTTAGACATTCAGACTAAGGAGTTAGCAAATATTATACCAATTAAATACAGAGTACTGTCTTTATTTTTAGACAGTACTGTGTGAGCAGTGTAAGTCTTACATGACACTGACATTGTGCCAGCCAAGTTATTTAGCTAAGGCTTTTGACAATGTAAGAAATAAATTACATGCTTAACTATAAGTGAACTTGATTTTCATGTTGCTAACTTTAAAGTTTGTAACTAAAACTGAAGGATGCTGTTCTATACAAACTAACAGTTCCTGTAAAGTGACTTTCTTTTTAAGTGACACTGATCGAAAGATCTTTGTTTCTGACTTGCAAACTGTATTTTAAAATCATATTAATGAACTTAAGCTCTTTAAAGAGATTATTCTGCCCAGATTTGCAAGGAGCAAATTGTTGTTATACATGATGATGTAATGTATTTGCATTAGACTGCCTCTGACCTTAAACCCTTCAGCGCAGTCTCTTTCCACCCTGTCATTGGTAACAGGGGATAGATTTTAGAATGCATTGTTTCTTTCCATATGTGAAAGTTGGGAGGTAGCTGTTGAAAAGAACTTTACTGGATTTTATTTGTTAATTCCGCCAAAAAGGGGGATTGGTTCAGTGTTTCTATTTGTTAGCAGATTTACACAAAATGTTATGGATGGGGTTAGCATGCCGTTTTTTAGCAGAGGTGGGTTCTTGGCCCAACTTAAGTGATTAACTTGTGGATCAATCAGGAGAAGGATCCAGGCTTTTTGGAACAATTCTTTACCATTGTGACACTTAGCCTTTTTCCTGGTTCTCAATGCATGTTATGGAGGGAAATTTCATCCTTTGCCCAAGTGGGCAAACTTTCAGGGACTATCCTTTAACTAGAGATCAATTTCACATTGCTCTGCAGCTCCATGACTCACTGGTCCTGAAATTCATTATCCTAATACTAAATTTAGGGAGCTGACTTTTATTATGCTGCACACAAGTGAAACAATCTGCAGAAGCCTGTAAAATTAGATAAACTAATCCAATGTAATCCCCCATCTTGAACTGACAGTTGTGTGAATGCGTGAGATTTCTTTCAACTGATGTATCTTAAATTATTGCCCTGTTTGTTGACATATTTAGTCACTTCCATGTCCTTTGTGTTTTCTGTATTCTAATTCAAAGCACTTGATTTCCAGTATTTTTAAGAAAAAAAAAAGAAAAAAAGCTGAAGTGCATAACCTGGTGAAAGAAGGCAGCATTCAGAGAGACAAGCATGCAAGGCCAAGTCAAGCCCAATACACCCAGAGCGAAGCGACCCACACTACACACGACAACAACAACCATTCCACTATCAGCCAGCTGGAAGCTCCTGCGTGGCCATGAGCACAAATTACGAGCTACAGGATGGACAATGGCAGAGGGGCAGATGGGTAATGAGATACAGAGGGGACTAACACTCACTCACCAGGGCAGGGAAGGAGGGATATCCACTACATTTAGCCCAAACTAGTTTAAGAGGCTCCAGAACAAATGGAGAAGCAGCAGTGGGTTTCCACACCTCTACAGGAACAACAACAAGCAAGTTATGAAGGATACACTGCAACAGAGAGCACAACCAATCTCAACGCACACACACCGCCAATAATACTTTCTATTAAGTAGACCATGTAAACCATTTTTAGGGTGTATATCGTATGTATGTGTGGGTACTGGCTCTTTTTTTTTTAAATATAAATATGTCCGTGTTAATTTATATATTAAGTTCACGTACTGCTGATACTTTTCATGAATGGCATAGGAAATAACTTTCTTTAGATTTGCTTTTACCATTGCAAACACTCACACTCAAAAACAAACTGCACACGCACTCTCACAAACACACACACACAATCCAACTTCCTAACTTCAAGACTGTCATAATGCAATGTTCATTAACGTCGGCAGTAATGATGAACAATGCAGTTTTAGTAGTTGCACCACATCAGTTCAAGTACAATGTAGCTGACGGGCACGAGTGTATAATTCGCTTTGAATCCACAAAGAAAATACCAGTCTTTAGTTCACTTCCACCTCGTCCATCCGCGGTTTCCCGTTTCTGTTGTTCTCCTGCGTTCACAACTTCCTTTGTAGCTTGAACTCAGTGTGAGCACAGAATATGCTGACTTAAATCCAGTACCTGATGAACCACTTAACCTCAGTTTCAGAACCAGTGTGGAAGACTCCATTGATGAATCGGTGATTTCATGGTTCTGTAGTAACCCCTTTTCAAGGATTTCTATTTAAAGGATTTTTACATCAAAACCTATGACACTCAACATGACTCATTCAACTTCAATTGCTCTGTATTACACAGGTGTAAAAGTAGAAAAGTGAAGATGTAACATGAAAGCAAGAAATTAATTTAATAAAATGCTGCATGCTTGGACATAAGAAGTATTAGTATCCCAATAAAGAGCCACTCTTTAATTAGTTTAGTAAATGTCTTCAGAAGACAGAAGTAAGAAATGACAAATCAAAGCTTGCCAAGCTGTTTCATGCACACTCATTAGGTCACAATCCAGAGCTGATCGGCTCACCTGAAGAGATCTTTGCAGCTTTGATGAACTCGCCATTTTCAATGCAGGTCATTAGAGTGCTTTTGTCATCCACAGTGCTACGTCGAGCGGTGGCCGGTCGCCCTTTACCACTTTTAGACAGGATAACGGTCCTGAAAGATGCAGGAGCAAAGGTCAATGAGGAAAATGTTTTTTTGTTTTGTTTTGTTTTTTAAAAAACCCTCATGTATGAGCTGCTGGAATGATTGACTAACAATTATTAATTTTGTGCACTGAGCATGTGTGTTTATATACTACCAGATAAGGAAAAACTTATCGCAGCAGGAGTTTCAGACGAGCGAGGAAGCAGACTTACTGTGACAGTATTGTCATTTGTGGAAAACCTCTGTGTGCAACTGACGGTTAACTAATTTGGTTTGAAAACAGAAAGTGTCTTGGCACCTTTCGCCTTGGAGGCGCATATATTAATTGTTCTGATTATACTATAAACTTGGTCACCACAATGTTAACACTGGAAGAAGTTAAGGACAAAATTATGAAAATAAGCATAGCCACTCAGGATTTGGTTGGTTCTTTTCTCACTCACCTTGTGTCACAAAGGATACTTCCACTTGAAGAGATGCTCGACTCGGAGGCACAGCGTCGGCGTGGCTCAAGCAAACGGGGAGATTGTGAGACCACACCCTCCTCTTCCACCACAAAACCGTTTGCCATTCCTGAGAGGGATAATAATACAAGAATTGTTTTAAACTCACTGAATCTTTTTGTCACCAGCATTGTTTGCAATTGAAACAAAATAATTAATATCTGACTGGCACCTGTACCAAGGCGTTTGATCGGCGACTCCTCGTCGTCCTCACCATCAGCGCTGCTGCTGCGTTTTCTTTTCTTTGGCAGAAGGAGCGTCTCCAATCGAGGTATCACTACTGACAGGAAGGTTTTGGCGCCCAGGGGTGGGGGGGACCCAGAGGAGACCTCTTGGGTCCGGGGTGGTTTCTGTGGGCTAGCACTTTTTGACTTCCGAAAGAGCACATTGGTCCTCCGGTTATAGCGTTCCACGTAGAGGTCACTTTTGGGGAGCAACGACTCTGGGATGTGCCCATTAGGGGTGTCCGATGGCACTGAGGTAGATGTGTTGGTGACGTCCTCAAACTCTGTGGGTGTCTGGTCCAAGGGCTTTGTGAGCTTCACGGGGGTCTGGTCCAAGTCCATAGGCAAAATTTGGGATGGTAAGGTTAATGTCTCTAATGGTGGTGGAGGTAAAGACTTGTCTTCCTGTGGTATACTGGGATCTGCCAGCAGTTCTCGTAGTGGTTGGTCTTCAGATTCAGCAGGAGATGGGCTGGGATCTGGAGTAGAGGGTTGTGGTGGCAGGGAATTCTTCAGGCTTATCTCACTGCGGACCTCCGTGATGGTTTTCTTGAGTAGCTTTAGCCTCTTGCTGCGGGACGGGCTGTGCTTCATGGCTATGCTCAGGTCCAGTTTCTCCAGGAGCTCCTTCAGCTGATCCTCCAGAGGAGTCTTTTGGCGGTACGTGGGAGTCAGTAAGCGGTCCACTACGGAGGACAG